ACAATTTTAAAATAGATTTTTGAAGTCTTTCCTCCAAACAGTGTTTTTTGACATTTCTTCTTCATAAGTCCTGGAACTCCGGTTGTAAGAATTAGCTTTACGCTGCTGCTGCTGCTTCCATCAACATTATCAGAGATTTTCCTTGCTTGAAAGGAACATAATAAAAAAGTTTTGAAAGTAATGCAGTCCTCTGGAACACCAACAGGCTCAGCCTTCCTTCAAACCGAACTGTCAGTTTGCCTAAAGCAGCCAGCTTATGCCAGCTTTTGTGTGTGTCAGGTTAGGTATTTTGGGGGGAGCTACCACATAGAATCATAGAATGGTTTAGGTTGGAAAGGACCTTGAAGATCATCGAGTTCCACCCCCCGTGCCATTGACAAGGACACCTCCCACTAGACCAGGTTGCCCAAGGCCACGTCCAGCCTGGCCTTGAACACCTCCAGGGATGGGGCCTCAACAACCTCTCTGGGCAACCTGTTCCAGTGCCTTACAACCCTCAAAGTGAAAAACTTCTTCCTAATGTTTAATCTAAACCTGCCCTCTTCCAGTTTAAAGCCATTCCCCCTCATCCTATTGCTACATGCCCTAATAAAAAGTCCTTCTCCAGCTCTCCTGTCGGCCCCCTTTAGGTACTGGAAGGCCGCAATAAGATCTCCTCGGAGCCTTCCTCTTCTCTTCTACATTCTCATGCAAATGTCACCAACGATATGCTTCTGTTAATTTGTTTTTAAGTGAAGAATAGTTTTGCACAACTAAAATATTTATAAATACTTTCCATTTAATTAATTGGCAGCTATAGTATGAAATATTGTAAAATATAGTGTGTATTTGATAAATCGTTTGGCTTTTTGTTGTCTGCACTGAATTTAACTATTGTTTAATATTTCCTGGCTGTTTTTATCAGAAGAAAAATGCAACACTTAGGTAGAATTAAAACTAGATTTTATTTCACACAAGAAGAATGTGTCCTTGTCAGAGACTATTAAAGACTGAGTTCTTTCAGACTTTTCAGTAAATTACATTGACATTTTGGGGTGGTAGAATTCACCTCATTTGCACTCAGTATCTGGGACTAGTAATTAAGAGCACATGCCAACGAACTCACAGCTGTATTTATAAGTACACCTCAGACAGTATGTCTCACTGCCATGGCTAGGTTGAAATGTTAGATCTTAACCTTTTTAAATATATTTTTGTATGTATGATGAATAGACTACTACGTCTGTTAAACACTTCTGCAAATTCCTTTTAAATGTTCTTCTTGCCCAGTGCATAAATTCTTATAAACTGGGAGTTGTCAGCAGGCTGTCTGGGAGCGCAATGGAAAGGCACAGGCATGAAGAATGCAAGGTCTGCTTTGAATGAAGGAGAGCACTGTCCATGTTTGATCAATCCATCTTGTTTCATTCTTTTAAACCAGTTATTGAAGTGCTGAGCCTTTACTTTCCTACAGAAGTAATAGATTTATATTATTAACTACAGGGTTAGCAGCTAACTTCAGGGCTTTAATTTTTAAGTTCAAATCGAGATATTGATTCAAAGTGAATATATAAATATTTCTGAAGAGAATCTCATCGTAAGGGGAGGTTATGTTGGATTTCTTTTTTTCTTAATATTTTTAATAGGCAGTAGTACGTTGAAGTTGTTTTGCTTTAAGCTAGTTTACTCTGGTTCTGAAGACTGCTCTGTATTTTAAAAAATACATTGTCATCCCACCTGCTACTCTTTTAGTCTGGGTTTGATGTGGTGGGTTGGGGTTTTTTTTTGTTAGTTGGGGTTTTTCTTGTCTTGTGTGCGTTTTTTTGAAGGTTTGGGGTTTTTTTTGGTTGTGTTTGGTTTTTTTGGTGGTGTGGAGGGTTTTGTGTTTTGGGGGGTTATTTTGGTGGTTTTTGGGGTGATTTTTTTTTTTAGATGTCTCTGGAGTATATAGTACATCCTCCTTTAATTGTGGTTTGATACACAAATAAATGCAGAAAACCTGCAAACTTCTGTTTGGTTTTTTTTCTACATCTACATTGTGGTTATATTTGTGTATAACACAAATTTGTGTAATAATGCTTAAACGTATAATATGTGTTTTATATGTGAAGAAAAAGGTGGTATGTCCTTGGCTGTACGGTAGCCAAGATGGGGATCAGCAGCTGAGACACTTATCTGCTTTGTTTTTAAAGAACCTCTTCTGGTGACGTTTTAAAGCTTGGAGCTGTGTTTTTTTATTAATTTTATTTAAAATTAAAAAATAATTTTAATTATTTTCTTCAATTCTTTGTGGCTGTGGAATTTGAATCAATTCAAGCTGTGTGGGTTCGTGCTTGGCAAAAGGGAAGAAGCCTAGCCCACCAGAGCATTAAAGCCCCCTTTTCCTTTTCCAAAGCCAAGACCTACTTGGGGTATTATATTGCTTGCTACAGGGTAGACTTTAATCATAGTTCGAACCAATCTGAGGACGATGGCACAAGAAGCCCTGCACTAACTAGTCCTTCATCATACAATTTTGACCAAGTCTGAATTTGTTCTGGTCTTGCCATGAATGCTGAAGTAGCAGCTTTGCCCTTTCTGAATGTGTACAAGTCATAGAGGCCAAAAGCCCTTGGCCTTATAACAATCTCTTAAGAGTCAGCAGATTGTTTGCCAAGTGTTTGCCATTGTCTGGCTATCATATAAGAAGTATGTTTTGTGATTCTTAAGACAGGACCTTCAGGCAAGGTTATCATTTTTGCTGTGATAGGAAGAATCCTTCACTTACCCTATTTTTCTGCATAGCTCCCAGGTGCACACTGCAGTGACTAGGAATCCCAATCCTCCGATCGCATCTGGCAGCACTTGGAATGCCTTTTTCCACATGAATTCCAACCACTGTTTAAAATAGAAGTTTTCAGGCTAATGGAGTCACAGGCTGTGGGGGTTTAGTGGGTTTTGTTTGTTTGTTTGTTTGGGTTTGGGTTTTTTTTTTCCCCTCCCCTGCTGCTTCCACCATGATGGATCTGTTCACTCCCAAAGAAGAAGGTGTACTTTCCTCCCTTGGCCCCCCTCTTGCTGTTGTGTTGTGGTTTTTTGTGTTCCGTTTTTATATAAAGATTGTCTGAAAAGTCTCAGAGATGCACGTGTTCCCTTAGTTCCATATTGTGACATTATTTGTTCTTAAAACTTTAAGTAAAGCCAGCTAGTTTTCTACATGTACACCCGTGCCTTAGGAGTCATCTGATGTCTGGAAATTTTTCTGAAAATGAGAACCTAACTCTTAAGTGATATTTTTCTCTTTCACAGAAAAAGATGAACAGATAAAGTCTTCCTTTCCGCATTTCTAAATGGTGGTATATATCTCTCTAGTGTTTAAAAATGGTAAACTGAACTTGTACTTCCTACATGTTCTCAGTCTGGTAGGCCACAGGCCAACCATACCTTCTTTGTAGTACTGAAATTGGTAGGCACTATGAATATTCAGCTGCTCAAATACTCGAAATACCTCTTTAGGGGCGTAGCTTGAATTTGAAAATTACTGATACTGTGTGTATTAGAGCAGAAAAATATGGGGGGGTTGATGTGTCATGGGGCTAACAGAATTTGAATTTGTTTGAACATCGATGTCTAAGGTCCATATCTTGGTTTTGTACTCAGAATTTCCTATTGTGCCTAAATTGAACATGTGCTTTGCGTTGCTATGTGTGTACACCTGTACGTAATACCAGATTTTTAAATGCCATACAGTGAATTTTACCAAAGTAACTGCAAAATATGAAGAAGTTGGTCAGAGTGGAAAATGCTCCATAAACTTTTCAATTTCTGCTTTCTCAATTTTAAGCTTATGTATCTTTTTTAAGGGGCAAATAATTTTAACTAAATACATGTTCATAATAAAAGTATTCCAAGTATGCTAAACTACGAACAATGTATATGTTGATGTTTCATAGCATTAAAATGATGTAGTCTGGCATTTTTAGTGATATTTATGGACAGGTTTGTGCTTTATTTGATATGTCAGTTTACCTCTAGAATGCCGTAAGACAACAATACATGTAAAAGCAACACTAAAACTTCTGGTGGGACATGATATTTTTGAATACAGAACTAATACCTAGTGGAAAGTTGATTCGATTGTATTGAAGCTATTTTGGGGATGTTGGTAATCCTTGAGTGGAAGATTATGTAATAAATTAGGCATTTCTAGCCTGAGCCTATCATATGTAGCATATGGATAATTTTTCAAAGATTCATGTTTGAGAGAGCCTCTATGCAGGAATTTTCACCAGAGTTTGAGAACGCTATAGTGAAGTTGATAATTCCTCCTTCACCTCTGAACTGAAAGAAACAATTTAGGCAACAACAATGGCATGATACCTGTGACAGATTTTTGTCTTTTTTTTTTTTTAAGCGGAAATAAGTGTAGTGCAGACCCTATGGAGCAAGAAATGTAACATCTCTGTATATGCAGTTAAATGTTTCCAGGGCAATTGTGTAAATCGGGACAACCTACATCAAACACCTCAGACCCACCAAACCACAGTGGCTGCATCCCAGCTGCCAGCTACTGCAGGTGCCTGGCCAGTGATATGTGCCTGAGCTGTAGGAATTGCCTGGAGAACTGCCAGAGGGCCAGCGCACTGGCGCACCAAACAGGACTCTTCTAGGACCTATTTGGGGGCATAGATGATTGAATGACATGGCCAGGAATGTTCTCAGACTCACTAAATTTGCTAACATAAACATGGCAAGTATTTCCCTCTTATGAGTGAGCCACATTGGGGTTTTTTCCAAGTATTTCTATTATTAAAAATTTGTTGCAGAGTTTCTGAAATAAAACTTGTTGTACCATTATGTAGTTGGTATCTGCTTCTAACTACTGTCTTTCCACTAAAATTTAAGTAAATAATTAGTCTTAGGTAAACCATAGGTGCACATACATGGGGCACATGTGTGGATGTGTATGCATGGGCTCTGCATATATGCATATGCATAATACATATTTTTCTTAGTTTTCAAACAATTTTTTTTTCTTTCAGTGGGATGCCATAACTGAAATGGATGAACACAATCGTCCCATTCATACTTACCAGGTATGTAATGTGATGGAACCAAACCAAAACAACTGGCTTCGAACAAACTGGATCTCCCGTGATGCTGCACAGAAGATTTATGTGGAAATGAAGTTTACCCTGAGGGACTGCAACAGTATCCCATGGGTACTGGGAACCTGCAAGGAAACTTTCAATCTCTACTACATGGAGTCAGATGAGTCTCATGGAGTAAAGTTCAAGCCAAACCAGTACACTAAAATTGATACTATTGCAGCTGATGAGAGTTTTACCCAGATGGACTTGGGTGACCGCATTCTTAAACTCAACACAGAAGTTCGTGAGGTTGGGCCAATAAACAAGAAAGGATTTTATCTTGCTTTTCAAGACATTGGAGCATGCATTGCTTTGGTTTCAGTCCGTGTTTATTACAAAAAGTGCCCTTTCACGGTCCGTAATTTGGCTATGTTTCCTGATACTATTCCAAGGGTTGATTCGTCCTCTTTGGTGGAAGTACGGGGCTCCTGTGTGAAGAGTGCTGAGGAACGTGATACTCCAAAATTGTATTGTGGAGCAGATGGGGATTGGCTTGTGCCTCTAGGACGATGCATCTGTAGTGTAGGATATGAAGAAGTGGATGGCTCCTGCCATGGTAAGAAAATATTGTTTGATTTATTATTTTTATTTTTTTTAATAATTATTTTTTAAAAAGTCTTATGATGTAATATGCACAGCAAATAGCTTGTTGTATATTGGAGACATTGCATCACATTTTCAAGGAATGCCTCTTGTCCAGAAATGAGCAAGGTTATTTGAAGTCATGATACTGTGAATTTCTAAGAAAACATGTAGTTACTAAAGATGACTGTCAGTTTGTCTAGCTGTTACACGTTACATATGCATAGATCAGTGAGCCACCTTGACTCCTTCTGTAGTTACTGGAGAAAAGTGCATGCTTTGGAGCTGGATTCCTCTACCGTGTTTTAGATATCTATCACAGGATAAGATGAGCAGTGACTGAAAAAAAAAAAACAAAAAAATCTTTTTTCCTCCATGTACTTAAAAAGGGAATCTAGTCAATTAACTCTGACTCCATCTTTTCTGTAAGCACATAAAGACAGAGGAGACAAAGTCACCTGAAGAGATAATGTAAAACAAAGGGTTTTAAATGCCTCCATGAATAACGTGCATGTTAATGTATGAAATGTACAAATGTTAATGTAATGAAAATCAGTAGGTATCAAGATCAATTAGAGACATTTTAAGCCCTATTCAGAGTTCCTGCAAAAGGTGAGAATCAAGTGCTCAAAACCATGATAAAGTGGTTTCATCACAATATATGAGTAGCACTATATATCTAGTACTGTTTTTTCAGAGACACAAATGTACAAATGTAGTAAGACAGATTGATTGTGAAGCAGGTGCCAGTACATCCATTAGTTGCTGAATGTTGTTTGCTGCATTCTTGCTTCTTAAGAATTGTCTCTCTGAGGATAGCTGTGCTTGGTGATTTCAAGAATTTTGAAGAGACCACACTGTGCTGGTGCATATAGAACAATGGAGCATTGCACCTTGTCACTATGACAGCAAATTAAGGATGTATCAAATCAAGGTTTCAACTTGGAGATGACTACAAAGGGAGATATATTTTCTTCCCTTATTAGTCCTATACTCACTTTCATAGGCAGGACAGTGAACGCTTGCAGGAACAAAAAGCATGTCTTCTGCACAGTCCAAGTGTTGTGGTTCATTAACACTCTCTCTGCCACTCTTGAAAGAGTGGTAGCATTTGTCAAACTTTGTGATAACTGGATTTCATGCGCAAATGGAAAAAATCAGATTACTTAAATTTTTGTGCTGTTTAGAACATGAACACATTGCTAAACCATTGTAAACGCTGTGGTATACTTAAGTAGAGCCCGGGATTCTAACCTTTGTGAATTCAATTTGAGACTACTATCCATGCAGAACGTGCACATTGAGAGTCTTATTTTCCACCTGCCGGGACTGCTGGATAGGTGGCACTTCCTTAATCATAAAAGGTGTGCATCTTTTCATATTGCACAGTTTCTTAGTATTTAGTTGTTTTGTTAGCTTCAGAAAGAGTTACTAAAGGATATGTGTACTTTGTATGTTCTCTTCTACTGTACGTAATAGTTTCACAATGACTTGAGAATAAGGTACTTTTTCTGTAGGTAATGATTGTAAAGAAAGCCTCAGTAGCTACTGAAATACCAGTCTGCTTTGGTTCAACATTTGCTTTGTAGCAAAAAGGAAGAGAAAGGGTCCATATCCATAAATTAGACAAGTTACATCGCTATTGTGCAAATATTTTGTTTAAGAGCTCCTTAGATTTGATGGTGTTAGGCAAGCTGCACAGCAACCTTGGGTAATATAGACCATTAAAAGCACACTATGCATTGTAATCAGGAAATGAAATTCACTTTGTTGTCTGATCTTGCTGGCATTAATTATCAAAATATACTCATTGCAAAGATATGGTTTTGACACTGTTGTTACTGGAAGCAAGTACAATTTTCTACATAAGGTCAAAAGGTTTCTCTCTTAATGGGATAAGGTTTTTCTTCAAGACATTAACGCTCAATGAATTTCTGTCCATTATGAGAGTGAGTCATACTGTAGAACTGCACACAAGCAATATAACCAGCAACAAAAGCCCACAAGAAATGTCAGGAAACTTTTCTGCTATGCGTTGACTCCACTTGTTTATTCAATTGGCAGTCCAGTCTGCTGCTGAATAGGTACCTCTTAAATGAAATGGAGTACCCAAAGCCATGAGTGTTTGCATATTCTTATCTATTTGCTCTGAGAGTAACAAATTGCTATTTTTAAAAATTAGAATCTAACAGAGCTTCCATATGTGTCTTGATATAATTTTCATAGGTGTCTGATGTTGTCCATTTGGTCATCTTCAGTGTAATTTAATATTAGTACTACTTTTTCTGACAGTTTTTCGAAGTATGTTTGTCTTGCATTCCTTCATGAATGTCATGCCTAAGGCAAGCCCAAACGTGTAAGACACTTTCAGAACTAAAGAGCAAGATTTCACTAGTGCTCATTCTCCGGTCCTGACTTGGAAGGGTTACTGTCAGGGTGTCCACGTTTCCCTTTGTGCCAAAGCTGCTGGTGGAGATGCATGCTCCAGCAACTGGGAACGCATTTTTACAATGTGACTGTTTTGAACATTGTGAACTGAACTGAGATCACTACCTATGTTGATAGCGATCTTTGACAGCCATAATGTCCTGTTTTGAGACTTTGCTTTTTGGCTGAGATGTGAATCAGAAATTTAGAGTTTAAAAGATTTGTCACTTGTCAGTACATCCTGAATTGAAATGACATCCATTGTCATAAAATACCTGAACATTACTAAGTTTCAACAGGAAAATTTGTAAAATTTACATTTAGCTTGTTTTCGTAGAAGCAGGGGAGTTGGGGGGTGTGGTAGGTGAGGGCAGAGGAGATGCCGCTACGTCATAGTCTGCTAAGAAGACATGAGACGTGTTTAATACAACCTTCATGTCTTCTAGGTCCCTCCCCCAAATCCCAACCCAAAACCCTTTTGTCCCTCTCATTCCACCGCTGGAGTTACAAATCTGAGTCTTGGAAGTATTTGATGCCATTCTGTCAGTGTTTCTCATAGACAGACTCTGTGATATACTCAAAACTGATAACTATTTCTTCTGCATGAAAATAGCTTTAAAAATAATAATTTTGTATTTTGAAATCTGTTCTGGCAAGTAATTGGATGGTGGGAAATACTTGCTAATACTTAGATATTTTTTCCTACTTGCAAATGGCATCAAACTTTAAATTATACACCAGCACATGGCTCAGTGGGGAATAATAAGCTCTTCATGGCAAATATGGGTTATCTGTCACAGAATTAAAAAAGTAGATGTGTGTTTTGATATTTGTGAAGATAATACACTCTGTATTCTGAAAATACTAAATGGCATAAGGAATGATATTCTGCCTTTGTCATTGCTCATGGTTTCATAAAGCAGCATGAATGGGAATAAAAAAGTCTTTGATCACTTTTACCACTGCTGTTAAAATCATAGGGAAGCAAGTAAAGTAGGTTTTGGCAGTTGAAAATAACCTGACTGGCAACATTTCAGTTATTTCAGCGTATGCTGGCTTTATACATATCTCTCTTTGCATCAGTATTCCCTATCTATTGTATTTGCTTCTAAAAGCATCATTTCAGAGTAAAAGTGTCTGAAAAGAATTCACAACTGGATTAAAATATCCATACTTATTAAATGTATACCCCAATGTGTCTGGAACAGTTCAGAAATGCATTGATAGAGAATTTTTCATTAATTTGAGAACTGTCTTCCTTTATTGAAGTCAGTGGGGAAAAAGACACATTGATTGCAAGAGGTTCACAGTTATATGTCAAGTACATTTCTTAATGGCATAACCTGAAAAAATACCATCTTCTCTGATTGTGTAAACAATCTATTGCTCTTTGATCTGAATCTACTTTCAAGATTATTTTTTCCTCAAAATCCTGAAATAGCAGCAGCATTCATATATTCTTCTGTTTCTTTAAGCATTAATAAATGAGTTAGTACTAATAATTTGGCAATGCTAATCATGAAGATCTCTAATATGAAGTGCTTGCTTTGCTAAGTCATTGGTACCAGCCCCGTTCACAAGTCATAGTGTAGGAGGAGATGCTGCACAGGATTCTAATAAACATCAATTGAAAGTAGCAAGTTCAATGTCATATCTTCTCAAAATGTCAGTCCAAGACAAGAGTTGCACTAAATTTAACAAGTGTATAATATATACAGGCCATATCAGGGCTTTGGGTGTTTGGTTTTTTTAATACAGAAGGAAACAATAATGACAAGGAACACTATATAAACTTAATTACAACAGTTCCATTCTTTTTAGGTACGATATAGTAATAACTGGGTGACTGTTAGCTGAAGTCTGATTCTTTAATGATTTACCGAAAATTATCTGAATTACTTAAGGTCAGCAATTAATTGTAGAGAAAAATTTAATATATAGCAAATACTAATTGTTATAGTGATTGCAGAATTTCTTTTGGAGTCTTAACCAATCAAATACAATGCAGAAGTGTATTTCAACTGCAAAAATTGATTGTTCTTGAGGAATATTTTCAGAAACACCCACTCCCCCCAAAGATGTTTTGTGGTATGGTTGAAGAATTTTTTAAAATGTAAAACAACTCATATGGTTTATTTTAATTTAAACTATTACAATTAGAAGTGGGAATGTAAAGTTCAAACTCTTTGAACTTGAGTTGACTGAACAACACTTCCTAGGGATACTAATGTCTGAGCACATTGAGCATTTGTTTAATTGAACAGACACTTCTTTCTGTTATTCATTACTTGAATTTGTTGTAATGTTTTGGTGTTAGGATTTCTAACTTCGCAGCCTATTTTCAGCCATTTCATCTGATGCAATTTGAAAATATTTTCATTTTGCAAATATGAACTAACCTGTCCTCGTGTACATACCTATATCTTGTATTTGTTACTGGGAAACCAAGGAGTTAATGATACAGTCATGCTTTAGTTATCCGTCTGCTGGCATGAAAACAGGAAAAGAAAAAATGTATGTTAGAACAGCAAGTTTCCTGATAGTTAC